ATTCTCTATTGCTGATTCTCAGTGACAGCTTCAGTTGTTCATTATTGCCAGCTTTGCTTATAAACCTCAACAGTCTGTGCAGTTTTAATCTTAAACTTGGCTCAATCATTAAAGATATTAGCTGGAGTGCATCAGTAGCTGTACTGTCCTTTCTAGCAATCAGTGGATGTATTGAGGTCAGGATCAGTTCATAGAGTGCCTGAGGAATGAGTGGTTGCTGAAGCTGTTGAGTGAAGTAGTTGCTTATTGCTTGAAAGACATCTTGCTCAAACCCGTGATAGATAGGTAAACCACCTGTAACATCTTCTGCAGATCCTGTAGGCCCTATAGTGTCAGATAATGCAGTAATAGTGCAGAAATAATATGTTAATGCAAGTAATTCATAGTTGTATTATAAATTATGCTGCATGGAATGCTAAAATAGCTATTATCCAGTGCATGCATGATTGTCTAGCAGTTACATTTTGATAGGCACTTGAAAGCCATTATGATCCAAGCAGGTATGTCTTCAATTGTACTCCTCTCTATAGTGATCCATAGACAGTGTTAATGTGACAAATGCCTCCATTATTAATAAGTTTTCCTTACCTCCTCCTCTCTTTTCTTTATCACAATTGCTTGCTATAATTCCTCCATCCACTACAGGCAGTGTACCCAAAGATGGTAGTATTGTTAGCAATCTGTCAACAGAGAGAAAGAGAGAGATTATGTTTAAAATATAAAGCAGTATAGTATATACTATTATAAGGCTCTAGTTCTACCTTGTTAGCGTCATGTCTTGCCATATTTTATGCTTCTCATCTTCAGTTACTGTCAATGGTCCACTTTTCAGTACTGGTGATGTTGAATTGACTGATAAAATACTTGAAACGCTTTCTCTCTCAGTCTCCACTTCTCCCTCTTCTCCTCCTATATCTTCCCCAGCAGCAGCTGCGTAAGGATTAGTGAGACATACAGAAGAGGTGCTCCCCTCTTTTTGTTCTTCCTCAATCTCTTGTCTTTTTCTCTTGGTTGGGGTAAACCCAAGGAAGTTGAGTGGTCCAGGACGAGTCACAAAATGATAAAGAGAGCTGCCATCATTGAATTTGTCCCTCTCCTTCCCTTTGGCATCCTCAATCACCTCACATTCTAAAAACTTTTGCAGCAAAGTAGTAGCCTGTGATAAAAAAAGTGCATCTTTATTGTAAGCTACTTTAAATGTTCATAATTTTGCAGATATTTTAGTATCTAATTCCCTAACCTGTTCTTTC